TTATTTATTCATATGCTACTTTTGAGACTTTCATTTATAAATCTTCTGGTAATTTCAAAATAAATTCATTCTCATTCTTCTCAGTTTAACTAGACTGGAGAAATTTATTTTTTCTTACCCTCCTACTTGCAGTGCATTATAAATATTTGAAAGAGAAACAATTTTTAGTTCAACCACGTCATTAGACAGTGAATGTCTGTTTATGTTACAAATTCTGCAAAGCATCTGTATAGCAACATTATGAAAGCAATGTACATGATAGTGGTGAAGACTTAATAATGGAACAATAATGGTATGTTTTAATGAAGTGATGGTAAGAGATTCACACAGCACTTCGGGGGGGGATGCATTGAATCTGAACAATGTAGTGAATGAACCTTAACAGAAAATACTGACAGCAGCAAAAGGGAAAATTTTAGAAATAAAGGAGTTTTAGATAAAAGTAAGGAGGCCCATCATGCAGCAGCACCAAAGTCCAGGGTTCGATCCCCGGGCTGGGCAAGGTCGACTCAGCCTTTCATCCCTTGGGTCGATAAAATGAGTACGAAGTTCGCTTGAGGACTAAACACTGGGGTTTCTGCGACAAGCTGACCACTTGTTCAGGGCATATGTTTATGCACCCCAGGGCCCACAGTCAAGAAAGCAGGTTTCGGGGCACTGTTGTTGGCTTTGGCTCACTAGGGCTGTTGCACCACTAAATTTAGTTTAATTTAGGTAAAAATAAAGATACATATGAAAACAGCACTATAGAGGGTGTAAAAACACTATTTTTAAAAAGAAGACTTTGAGAGCTAGAAGAAGAAGAATTATTTTATGTATGGCAGCTATTACACCATACATCATAGCTAGAGAGAAATGTAGAAGGAAAGGCTTATATTAAAGATATCATTAAAATCCAGACCTGTACAAGATAATATGAAATGTCAGCTACAAAATCCTTGATAATCTCGTGAATTGTATTCCATAGTAACTTCTAATCACAATAAACCAGAGAATTTGTATCAGTTTATGATGATTTATTACTTAAAAAATATATAATGGGCTTTTTATGTGATAGGATGACAAAATTACAGTGTAAGGAAGCCAACATGCATGTAATGTTCTAATCTTAAATTTAACAACTGTATATGAAACAGAGATTTAGTAGATTTTAGAGGTGCAGTAGTTAAAATTTTCAACCATTTTTATGTTTTTACTTTAGAAATGATTTATTGATCTATCTATTTCCGAAACATGTTTAACAAATAACAAATGCTTCAAAAAGTATTGTACTGTTACTATTTAGCAATGGTCTTGCAATTGTTTTTTTTTTTTTTTTTTTTTTTTTTTTTTTTTTTTTGTAGTACTTGCAAATTTGCATCTCTTTACTGTGTCAGTGAAAAAGAATACATGCATAAGTTCAGTTTTTAGTCAGCTGTAAAAAAATCTTGGTAGTACTTCTGTTTTATGATGTATGAAAAGTTTCATTACCTTCTGTGCAACAAAAGTTAATGATCAGTTAAAAGTTAATGCGAGTTCTTTTGCAACACTTTCTAGACAAATTATATTTAAAAACATTCTCAATTTAAAAAAAAATGCTTTTTTGTAACATGTAGTTGGGGGAAAATAAATAATAATATATATGAATAAAATTTGAAGTCCTAACCTAGGTGTTTTTTCTGCATAAAATTTCAAAAAACAAGTGTCTGAAAACAAATGGGAACAATTATGCACTCGGTAAAAATAAACAGCATAGATAAAATTGGCAAAGCAGTTTAAATAATAATAATAATAAAACTGAGTAAACTTATGACACTGTATTTCACTTGTTTAATATACACTTGGATAACAGCTCAAATCATGTATTTGAAAACATGTAATTGGGATATACACATAATTCACTTCCCATTCAGAATATTTAAAGTATAAAGCAAGATGAAAAAAGTTAAGTGTCAGTATACAGTTTTTAAAGAATTATGCAATGTTTATAACAGAATGTTAACTCACTTAAATATAAAGCTGAAGATTGATAACACATTTAACTGTCAAAATTAAATATAAACAACAGTGGTTATGTTGTACCAGTTATGTTGTAAATTCAAAAAGCAAGAAAGTAAACATGCAAGTATTACAACAGAACTCAGTTCATATGCAACAAAATATCCATAGAACATCTAATCTGTATAGCATAGCCATCTTTACTTTTCAAATCAGACCTTCAACGGGAGAATGATGGTTATTTTAGGAACTAGCAGTTTGCTCGGACAGAATGTGCAATGCCATGAAAGAATATGGTTCTACAGAAGTTTTTACATTATTTCATAATAAACTATTTATTTCATAACTTTTTCTTTATCTCATAAAATAATTAATGGGATGATAGTTAAATAATGAGGAATTCATTAAAATGTAAGATTTTGCTGGTACAACATAATCACTAATGACAACCACTAATATTTTTGAACATATAAATGATTTTTGGAATCTTAGAGTAATCGTAAATAAATGTATAGAACATCACCTCTCAAATGATCACTTCTGAAAGTGACCAACATCTCTGAGATTGTAAGTAAATATGAATAATAATATTTCCATAACACGATAATTTCTACTGAAAACCAAAACTTCTGGAATCGTGGATTGTCATCAGAGAGAATTCTTAGTGCAAAATTATTGCACAGCTGTAATTCATTACCATTAACAGTGTATGCTATTGAAAAGTATTTTTTGCCCTGTAATTTAAAAAAAAAAAAAAAAACACCTTTTTTTAAAATTTGCCTACATTTATATGAACATTTGTAATCTGTAAGTAATTATACAAGCAATTTAAACATATTTTTATAAAAAATATGTGCTAGTTAGAACATAGTAAATGCACTAGAAACTGGTAATGCTTATATATATTTTTTAAAATGCCTGAAAAAATAGTTAAAATTTATATCAAAATAACAAGAATAACCTGAATATCAATATTTTTATTGTAGCATTTAGGAACAACTCTTAGCAAAATATGTAGGAAAATGCAAATAATTTGCATGCTTTTAGATGTGCAATGTCAAAAAACTAAAATTTTTAGATTTGAGAACAAATATTCTCAGAATGTTTGACAATGGAAGTCCTCCAGAAAATGCAGTATGAATATCCTCAGGATGTGAAATTGGGGAAGTCCTGAGGACATCTGATAATCAACATCTTCAGGACATCCTCACATATCCTGGGACATAGTGACTTAAACGAGACATCCTCAGAATGTTAAATTATAATGTCCTCAGGAGATCTGAGAATCAACATACTCAGGATATCCTAAGTATGCCTCAGGATATTGCGACTAAATAGGACATCCTGAGAATATTCTGTGCTATGAAAGTCAGAACATTCTTAGGATATTTTTGTGCTATGTGGCTAAGGTTTATGGTAAAAAAATCGTGTTTCTTAATTTAATGCTGTCAAATGAAAATTTTGAAAATTCATTAATTATAAAATTAGGGATATAAAAATTGTTAGTATTGAGATAAATTTCCAATATATGCGTTGGCAGTGAAAAGGTTTTCAAACAGAAGCTTTGTAAATCATTTATGATGAAAAAAGCTTTATTCAATAGTTTAAAAGTGTTCTACATTTGCATTGTTATGATATGAAATTGGATTCATTATATTATATTCTGATTAAAAAATTTTTGTCATATTCTTTGATTTAAAAAATTTAATTTTATCTGCTACTGTACTTCTTTTCTATAATTTATTCTAATAATCTTTGAAAACTTCTGTTACTGTACATGCTTTAAGGACAAAATGTTCTTTAAGAGACAAGCTTGTTTTAAAATTTTATATTAAACCTTATATAGTTTTCACACCTTTAAAGTTAGATGCCATCTCCACATTAAATTCAAAAATATGATTTAAAATTTATTCCAGACCTCTTAGAAAATGTATAGTAAGTTAAATAGCAAACAATAAAAAATATACAGTTTTTTATCGGTGAGAGAGTTTGTGTATCACAAATATACCTTTATTTTACAACAGATTTTCCTAAAGAATCATTTAGATGTTTAAATTCATTTTTGAAATAGTAGTAGCTTTATGCTTAAAGGGAAAATATACAAAAGGGAAAGGAAGGTGGAATATGAATATTTATTCATACTGTAAGGAATTAAATATTTCATTGATATTATACAATGATTTATATTAAAAACCAAATAAACACCAAATATATGTACATTTAAAATAAAAAGAGTTAATCTGTTTTTATGCTTATTTAATCTTTTGTAAGATACTTTACTATTACATTGATTTCGGTTTTTTTTTTTTTTTTTTTTTTTTTTTTTTTTTGCAAATGCTGTTAATGTAAAATGTTATTTTTTATTAAATGATTAGTCTTATTGCTTTTCTTTTATTTTTTTCTAAATAAATATATAAGCATATTTTAAAAGTGTCTGAATATTTTTTATGTGTGCCAGTTAAATTTTTTTATGCAATGTACCTATATCTTAGCCCTAAAATAATTTCATAATGGTTTTATGTATTTAACAGCTGTAATGACTAGGCGCTTAAAAATCAGCAGTTTGAAAAAATATGAAAAATTTAGAGAAAAAAATATTTAAATATATTTTTCATTACATTGATACACAGCAGTGATTAATTAAATATTTTTATATTATTTACACTGATATATCAAAGGCTCACCAACGGCCTAAGCGTTAAAGTCACTGAACACTGGTAGTTTGAATCCTGGTGAATTCGCTCACTGTATGGGCATTTTCATGGTTTTCTCCATTTGTAATATGTGTATGAACCAGTTTTCCTTAGAAAGTCTTCCACAAAGGCATCTCCTCCCTTAGGCAGTTAGCTCTCCTGTGCTTTGCTGTGATCAACTAAACCAAACTATTATATCGAATGTGTTTATACCATTTTATACATGTTCTAATTTAACCCTAATAGTTATCATCAAGTCAAATTATAAAATTTTATTTTGACATGCATTAGTTCTTAGGAATTATTTTTACAGTAAATTTCTTTTGACAGTGTATTGGATCAGCAACCCAAGCAGCGTGTTACTTTCCATGGAGGTAGCTGTTTAGATAACTTTGATGGTAAAATGTATGTAGCATCAGCAGATATCATATGTGCTTTGCTTCCAGTTCCATGGGAGAAACAAGTAAATGTTATTTTTTTAATGAATAATTTATTTAAAATTAAATACTTCTTTGTAGAATTTCTTTTTTGATAAAATTATCTTTTATAATTTCATAATATTGTTTTTTTTTTTATTAGGTACAGTCGCTTTTAGCTGATAAGAAGGTGGCTGAAGCTTTGGAACTTGCAAAGTATTCAAATAAATCTGAATTATCAAAAGATCAGTTTAGAAGTGTATGTTGCAGAAATTTTATGTATAATTTGAATATTCTCTTATTAGTCTTCATTACCTATATTTCAGCAAACTATTTAATAGCATTATATTTTTGATTACAAATTATTATAATATCTGGTATTAGCTTATGCAGTTCCCTTTTTAATTTTCAAAATCATTCATAGATATTGAGGCGAATTCATCAACAAGCTGGCTTTATAGAATTTTCATTGTTTCATTTTGATGAAGCTAAAGAACACTTTCTTGAAGGGCAGTTGGATGTGCGTGAGGTAACTAACTAATGCATAATTTTGCAATTTATTTTTCAAAGTATTGTATAACAAAACTATGTTATTGCTGTATTTCTTAGGTATTGTAGTTCTACAAAGAAAATTGAAAAATTTGAGTAGAATTAGTTATGTCTAAACCTGTACAATTTTAAAATAGTGCTGGATAGACCTAGCTGTCATTTAGAGCTTAACACCTTGATTTAAATTAGTCATAACATCAGAAAAATTTTAAGTAACTACAACTTTTTAAAGTGTAGAACTCGTAGATTGCAATAGAAATTATATTAGAGCCCAAACTCTGATATCTCTGTGGGTGATTAAAGGCTGGGTGTGATCAGATGTAAGTAACTGTGTTGAACATTTATACAGAAAGATAATCAAAGTTAGGGATCTTCAACCTGTCATGCCCTAGGGCTACATCAATAAATTCATAAATATTTATGAGTCACACGTCTGTCAAATAAGTAGCATAGGCTGAAAATTTAAAAAAGAGAGGCAGGTTTACAAGACTACAATTAAATTTTAAGGAAGAGAAATGGAATTACTGATTTTTGTCGTATCAAATATTTTGTGCTTTTTGTTCAAAAGAATAAAATTTGTTGGAAGTCAAATCAGTATACTTTTTTATGAAAGAGAATGGAGGTACATAACGATTTTTTTCAGTTTCTCTTGACACTTTTCTCTGCCTCTGAATGGTGATGCAAAAATCAGTGGAAACGCATTGATTTAGATAACTTTAAATGGCAATAACGTGAACTTTAAAACTTGCTTTCTGTTTGTTTGATGCAGCTCGAATGCTGCTGATGAGAGGCTAAGTAGATTCTAGATTAGATCAATTTGTTTGGTATTCTGATAAATTCCCTTTTAAACTAGATTGAATATTAATTTAAATATAAATACAACTGAACTACAGATATAGAAATTTAGCTGTGGCATTTAGACTTTATGTAGAACTTTTTTAGATACGCTATGCCATTATTGTCTATTGAACATTTTGGTGTACTAGCCAGGAATTTGTATTTTCAATTCTTTGGTTCGATGCTTTCTTTATGTTTGGATTTATGTTGGTTCACTTCAAATGAGCTGAAAAAGGCTGCATTTGGATATTATCTATGTGGGTACGTATTTACACTTCTTGTTCTGTTTCATTTGAACTGGCCTAACTGTCAAGGTTTTGATTCTATCAAATAGTTGGATATACACCTGAAGGGTAAGGACATTTATTTTCTTTATGTCAGTGGAACTGAAAAAGGTGAAAAATGTAAGAGCTCAATAACAAAGCATATTAGTAAAATAAATAAGAATATTGAAGGAAATAAGCCTCCGAGTAATGAAAAGGCATTATTAAATCAGTTGAAGCCTAAAATGGAAAATATCAAATTAACTGATAATTCTATATTGAAAGAACTTGTGGAAGTTAATTCTGTAGAAGAGTAGGATTATAATCTATTAGAATACAAAAATAAATTGTTGAAATAGAAGAATTATCAGAAAGTAGTAGAGATAGCAATTCTGATCAAGGAGTAAATGTGTCTATTTCAAATTATCTTCTGATTTGAAGCATGGGAACTTCATTTATAAAATTACCTAAATTGACTACAAATAAGTTTTTTAGTGATTCAAACGATTGGCAGGAATTTTGGAGTCTGTATGAAGCAGCTATGCGTAACAACAACTCATTATCAAAAGTAAATAAATTTAATTACTTAAAGTCGCTATTAGGTATAGTAGTGTATAATACCATTTCCAGACTTTCGCTTACAAATGAGAATTATGAGTCAGCTATAGAATTGTCAACTAGCAGGTTTGGCAGAAAAGATTTAGCAATAAATTCACATGAATAAACTTTAAAACTTTTCCCTGCAGAAATGTAGGGGATTTAAAGAAGCTTAGAAAACTATATGATGAGTGTGAAACTCAGATTTTTAAAGTCAGTGAATGTGATATTAGAAACGTATGGTAGCTTACTTTGACCAATATTGTTAAAATTAATTCCATTGGATATTACATTAGAATATAGTTACAGTAGAAACAGTGACCACATGTTGAATGGTAAAGAATTAATGTAATTTATTCATAAAGAAATCGAAAGCTGGGAAAGAGTTGCGCAGTTGAATAACAGTGAAGAAACAAAAACAAAACATCAAGCGAAATTATTCTTAACTTAAAGCATAAATCAAACAATTGTTTTTACTCTCCACATGATAATGTAAGCAACAAGGTGCAATAAACAGTTTGATAAAAGTTTGCCCAAAACTTATGAATACATTGCTCCAGTCACTAGAATTGCATATATTGCTATGAACTGCACGATTCTCAGCATTATGAAATTAAAACCATGGATGAGAAAAAAGAAATATTTAAAAAAATCAATTTGTTGTTTTTTTATACCTTAAAACCTCAGCATAGAATAAAAGAATGTAAAGAAAGAAAAATGTGGGAAATATGTAATAAAAAAACACAATCGATCTATTTGTTTCCAATTTGAAACAAGATCAAATAAAAGTAAAGTCATATTAGCAATTTTGTTCTGTAAATATGTTCAAATTAGTCAATTAAAAACTGAAACTTCTCAATGTACATTGCTACAAATGTGTACTATAATGATATGCCCATTCTCTGATAAGGGTAATTTAGAACCAGTTCATATTCTATAGGACAATGGTTCAATGAGAATAATTATAATTCTGGACAGAAGCGAGTAAAATACCTGCTGCTCGAAAAGAGAATTTGTTAGTATTTGCCTTTGGGGTTATCCAGGCAAGAGAACAAAATTATAATGTTGTTGAAAGTCAGAATCGAAAACAGAAATCAACCATCCCTAAACATAGAAATTGAAGCTTAGAAACTAAGAAGAACTAACCAAACTATTATTAAAGTAAAACAAAACTAAACTATTAGTTTGATTACAGTTGGCTGATTCTTGTAAATGCAGTGGCAGAAATATTGCTATTCTGACTGGTGCAGATAACTGTCATGAAGTAATAACAGTGTAAGGTCCAACTATGGCCGGTATGAGGTTTTGTATGCAATTAATGGATTCAGATTATTTTTTTCATTTATTCACATGCACAACATAGTTTATACAGTCAAAAGTCTTTAATCCGGAATGATCTATAATCCGGACCTTAAAGCAACAAACTTTCTGCGCATACATAACTGCATAATGCATGTATGCATGTGCATAATACCTTTACGCATGTGCATATGCGTTTACGTATTCGCATAATACGTTAACACATGCGCGTTTAATGTATGACGAACGGTATAAGCTAAGCGAAAATTATCTAATTATCTATTTCAGTTAATGTTGCAGATTGCGTTGTTCCAATTAGTTCCGGCTTTCTTTGTGCAGACTGTTAGAGCAATTTTATAAAAGTAAGCTTGAACTTTCGATTATGTCAAATAGAATTTCTGATTCTGGAGCTGCAAAGGATCTACAAAGCGAAAGCATGTTTCGATGGATGTCCATCAAACAAAAAGTGGAATACGTAAACACTGCAAAAAATGGGTAAAGGCATATCCTTTGTTTCTCTAACCATTCCAAAATCTAACCGATAAACCAGAATCGCCCGACGCGTCCGGATTAAAGACTTTTGACTGTATATATTTTATACAAATGGAAATACATCAGTTGATCAGTTGAAGTTCCAACGTGTCCGGATTAAAGACTTTTGACTGCATATATTTTATACAAATGGAAATACATCAGTTGATAGAATTCTAAAAATTTATAAAACTACCGCACTGAGCATTCGGCCTTTTCCACTATAAGCCAGTCTCGAACTCACCCTTTTTCATCCTGAAGAGCGCTATTTCTTTTAGGGATTACTATTTTGGAAGACTAGGCACTACAAACAGGTAGACTTAAATGTTTTAAAAATAAAGTTACAGCTTCCGAAATAATTTTTGGATGGTGCCTTTAAGGCCAGAATTAATAAATGGTTCTCAACTCAGTTAAAGCAGTTTGGGGAATTTGAAGTGCTGGCAATTGAACAAGGAAAGAAAAGTAGTAAAACAGATAATTATATTGTGAAGAATTTTAACATAACTGTCAAATTTAAAGAAAAGCGATACAAAGTTAAATTACCTTGGAATGGAAATTCATCTGATTTAAAATCGAATTATGTAAATGCCAAAACTCTCCTCAATAAATTGGTTAAAAGTTAAGAAATGATCCACTGCTTCATCTGCAGTATCAGCCAATTATAGAACAGTATTTAAAAATGAATATAACTGAGGAAATTAATCAAAGTTCTGAAGAAACAGGAAGAATTTATTACATGCCTCACCACCCAGTTATTTGACCTGACATACTCTTAAAAGTTGTATTTGATGCATCCAGCCATTTTAAAAATGAATATTCTTGAAATGATTGTCTCTATTCAGGTCCTAATAAATCCACTGTTGTTAAGAGATATTAATACACCTTTTAAAACATAATATAGAATTTACTGCGAACATCGAGCCAGCCTTTCTCAAAATTTCTTTGTCATCTGAAGATAGGGGATGCTGTGAGATTTTTGTGGGTAAATAACCTTACAGACAAAGATGGAAAACCCACCACAAAAATGCTTAGTGTGACTGTGTTTTGTTTGGCCCTACATCCAGCCCATTTTTGCTTGCCACTACTATCAAATACCACATAAATACCTTTATAGAAACAAATCAGAAGCAGTAAAACTACTGAGTGAATGTTTATATGTAGACGATTTAAAAGGTGGTGATGAAGAGGAAAATAAAGCTAAACACCCATATAAAGGCATCAAAAATATACTGAAAGCTGCCTGTTTCATCATAGGAAAATGGAAGACAAATTTTGTGAATTTGCAGAATGTTTTTGACGAGCATGAAAATATTGAAATCCGAAAGTTCTGGAACAGAAGGTGTTGAGATATAAATAGAATTACAAGGAAGGTATTTTGAAGATGGAATCAAATCTAACTTATCAGGCTAAAATAAAGTTAATCACAAAGCGAGAACTTCTGAAAAACTATTAG